AATACCACCTCTAATAAGTATTCAGAAGAGGGTGAGGTTTTGGAAGATTTTTATTTCTTTATGTCTTTATTTAAGGTGTTGATTAGTCGCCTAATTAAGCCTTTTGATAAGGACATGAGAATTCGCTAACATTTCCAGGTTTTGGAGGAAAATAGTTGGAAGGAAACAGCTTAGAGATGCTGATTTGATCTTATTATTGCAAAATACATAACCTACTCATTTACAGCTTTCTTTTCCTCCTTAAGTGCATGTGAGTAATATTCCACAGAGAGCATAGTAGCAAAGTGTAGTTGTTTCTTCTCTGCCTCTAGAGAAGGTATAGCTCTTTACGCACTACAGAATAGTCCCCTTTTAAGTATGGCTCAGTGTCATGTTGATCAGTCTCCTGATGCTGTACAGAAATTCTGATATGCAATGCTGTTTCTATCGCTAGTAAGGTATGCCTTCATATGGATGAGCTGCAAGTGAAGGCCACTTTGGATAAAAATTAATATTATTTCTATTCTCAAGAACACCAATACTGACTTAAGGATACAATGATGTTTATGTCTCTTGCTTTGGCTTCATCCACTTGTTTTGAGCAGCTAGTTCATTCTCACATTCTTAGTCCTCCTGCCAAGACACCCCATCATGACCTTGGCTCAGGGACTCAGGATGGGAATTTCCAAAGTTTTCCAAAACCCCCCTTTGGTGCCTGTTAGGGGGAAGACATGAATGATTTGACTGCAGTTGTGGGAAGTACTCTTTGAAATTTACTGTTTATCTTTGAAATTGCAGGCGTATCCTTATTTCCATCCAGCCCCTTCCCAAATTCTGCTACTCAAAAAGAGCTGATGCAGTAGATCCACAGTGAGTTGGAATAATTTTGCTTTCACTGTTATAATTTCCTTCCTCCTGTTTGCTTTCATTCCTGTAGTGGATGTTTCATTTTCCCTGACTTTCCAGTACTACCAGGAAGAGGTTGGCAGCTCAGTCACCTTTGAGTGTAACTGTGAGAAAAGCAAATCTTATGATATTGGAGTTATTGATAATTACAGCTAGGCTAATCTTAGATGACTTTATTGTAATATTGTTCCTATATATTTGTTCCATATTCTTCCTATGAGAAGTGCAACAAAATATTAATAGCTCCATCCTGTTGTGGTGTTGCCCGCATTAAACTAGGAAAGGATGGCAGGCAGAGAAAGAGATTCACAAGGATGACAGGGCGCTTAGTTTGGGTTTAGTGGACAGTAGAACCACAATATCTGTGATGCAGCTGTCTAGACAAATGACTTGACTAATAATTGTACATGTAATTTATGTACTTGGAATGGGTAGTGATGTGATTATCTAGTGCTATGTGTCATACGAAAGCTAATTTGCAACATGCCTCTGTCCTAGTCTGTTTACCTGGAGGCCATAACCTACTGGGCAGTAATTTTCTGTGTAAATGCAAATGTCCTTTAAATTGCTTTACAAAATAGATGATATTTCTGGAAACATTCACTGATCCTCTGGTGTGATAGGAGGTTAATACTGCTGCTCCAATGCAGCCACTTGAATCCCTATGATCTGCTGCACCTGCATGTCTAGTATTCCTACTTAGAGGCAGAAGTACTGAAAAATTGAACAGTTCTTTGGTACTCAAAAATATAACTGGCAAAACATGCAGGCAATGGTAACTCAGTGACATCTTCTGTTAAGGCATGTAACGATATCACTGTTTTTCAGGTGCTGAACTAGACTTATGAAAAAAATCCTGAATCTCTGTTGAATGTCTGTTGGGCCAGTTCAGAAAGCTGCATGCAGCAGGAAAAACAAAGAGTGAGCAGGCTGTTGCTTTCAGGAGATTAAATCAACATAGACTGTACTGGCTTCTACAGTAGCTACCCTCCTTGGCTTCTATTAAACTTTGGATCTGGACCCTCGGTTGAAGGGTTGAAGCAGTTGAAACACTGCTTTAGCTATGGAGAATGCCTGTTGATATATATAGCAAATATACTGTTTGCCCTCCTTTCTAAGTGTTACCACTGTACGTTGGGCTGACTGACTCAAATGTTCATTGTCTCTCTGAGCTTTTGCCACATGGAGCTGGAATGGATCCTAAAGTATGTTTCTAACTATTATTTTCCTCACATAGCCATATGAACAAGACAGATAATCTGAAATTGCTGCTGAGCCCCCAGCTACTTCACTGCAGGCAAAGAATCACTTTTTTTTACATTTTCCCCAAAACAGCGAAGCTCCCAACAAGATAGGTAGCTGCAGTTCAGAATTTGTCTTTTTCCACTACTGTTAAAGATTCTGGCTTTCAGAAAGTTCTCATTTCCAAATGAACTAGCAAATGAACACTTATATCAATCCCTTAAAAGGGGATGTGAATGGAGAAAAACATGAAACCACTCATACCACCACTCACGTCAAATGAGGAGTCACCTGTTTCTGTCTGGGCAAAACAGACCATCAGCTGTAGACCTGCAGCACTCTATTAGCCTGCCCTTTGCTTGCTCTTAAGGTTCCCACGGCTGCTGGCTTCACACTGAAGGCATCTTGCCCATTAAAATAGCATCTCCTTGCTTAAAGAAGAGACAAATGGAACACTACCTCTGGGCAGTCGTTAATTATTACAGACTTATGCATCCACATAGGTAAATGCCTAAGAAGGGCCACTTAGGATGTAAAAGCTTACTCTGGGTATCAGAGGAGAATACTCCTTCAGTGTACTCAACAGTGATAATGCCATATTACTAGCTTAATTAAATCACTGTATAACCTTAGTCAGAAATTGAACTGACTTAAAAAATTGTGAGGAAACTGTCAGATGCTACTTTTAAGGTCCAAATGTCTACTAGGGAAATGAAATTGATAAGACGTACTGTGCCCTCTAATTGTAAAAGACAGTTGGACATTGCAGAAGCTGAAATCTATTGATCGTGCAGTGTAGGTGGACTGCTTAAAAGAAAATCTGGACTGCAGAAATTATAGGTTAAATTCCCTTATGTGTTGTAATTATATTATAGCTATAAGTATTATAGTTAATAGTCCTTGTATAAATAAACTGATGCTGATCCAGAGGTGACTTTAAACTGTGAGGACTTTCAAACGTCTCCTGTGAAATCACCTGCACAGTATGTGATCAACAGGTGCTCAAATATTCGGAGCCACTGGAGGCAATGTTCTATTGATGAGCAACCAATATTTATCTTCAGGGTCTAATAAAACAACAAGAAGGCAGAGGACATCAGACATCATCGGCACTAGCGCTACTTGCGTTATCCTGTTAAAGTATAGGCAGAAATATGGATACTGAATACCAGGAAAGGAAAGGAAAAATAGATTTTAAATTATTGCAAAGTCAGGAACAGAATTATGTAGTCCAAAAATTCTGTGGAAGAGCACTATTCTCTTCTGGTGTCAAAAGGTAGAGTTATTTCTTTTTCTGAACATAGAAACGCTTTGCTATGAGTCACCTTAGTCCCAAACTGAGTTGGATTAATTGGAGAAAATACAGTATTGATCTTTTTCTTAACATTTACCAACAGTAGTTGGAAAAGATTAGATAGTAAATGCCACACAAATGACTAGACCTTGTGTAGAAGAAATACTTTCCTCAACCTAGGGATGATTACTCCAAAAGTAGGCACCCTGAATTAGTTTTTGCTGTTCTACCTGCAGTACTAACAAGTCATATCAGACTCGTGCATATCTTAGTCATATTGAATCTTTTCCTCTGGGATATGTATGAATTCCCTCACTAAAAAAAATACCAACCTGGCCTTAATTTAGTCCGTCTTTTATACTGATCATTTCTTATAACCATAGGATTCAGGATGCAGTAAAGCTTTCATTTGGCAGCTTAGCTCTCAGGAAAAACGAAAACCCCAGGAGAAATACTGGAGAACCAGATTAGCCAATGGCCTTTTTTGGTTCTAGAATATGCATCTGTAACAGGTGGAAGTGAAACGAAATAAAAGAGATTTGGCCAATGTCCAATAGAAAGTGGCTAACGGGGTGGCAAGCTGAGTGGTCACAGACTTAGCAATATTCTTTTGGAAAGACAAATTCACAGTTATTTAACATACTTGCCACTGGTAAATGATTTAATGAACATCAGAATAAAATTAATCAGGGAACTGATTTTCACAATGGCCAAGATCAAGAAAACTATCTGAGCAAAGGAGCTGTTTGTTTCTCCCATCATGAATACTGCTGGGCTGTGTCTCAAGCTCCCTCAAAGCTAGAAATAAGGAAAATCCCTTTACCTCTTTGATTAAAGACCACAGCTGTAACTCGGTATTACCTTGCCTATACATGTGACATCAGGCAGGAGAAAATCATATTCAATGCATACCATTGTTTTAAGGAAAAATTTAAAATGTAGGACCAGTTTACTTCATCCAAACTATGTAATAAACACTTCTTTCATTGATGTTTTGCAGTCGCAAATAATTTGTTTATTTCTTCTGTGATACCTCTGCCATTGTTTAATCCTGATATCAATGTGCTTATGAATTTACCAGTCAGTTAGTCTATAAGTCACCTGGAAGATGACATCCACTGTGCTCACATTTATGTTCTTTCTCTTGTAGTTTACTGGAGATTCAGCTCCTCAGAGTGCTGAAGATTGACTGTTGGGAGTAACCCAACAATAAGGGAGTACCAAGCAGTGTGTTTGTTGCCATAATGAGATTGAGACTTCCTTCCTCGTAAGCGGACAGCTGAATGACTCAGCTGTTTATCAAATGAAGATGGAGAAATGGAGGTGTCTGGATGAAAGAATTACTTATTATGGATAGCAGTTGGTATGACATGGTTATGAATCATGAAAAAAGCAGTTACTTTAGAAAGAGCTGAAAGAAGACTATGCAACATTTCAGAACTACCAGGGGACAGGTGACTTTGCATTGAGTCTTAGAAATACATTCCAATAACTGATCAAAAGTGGTTCCTGCCTTCAAAGTTCTTATCCCAAAAGGTGACCAAAGTTACAAACTCTGCTACGTAGGAAAGATTTCTACCACATGTAATTATTTTTTTTAAGTGCGTAACAGACTTGGTCACCTCCTTTATTCAGAGACTGAAATTTACGCTACTTTTCTTTGGTTGAAATGTAGATTGAAATCTTTGGTAATTGCTGAAGGAACTGTAGTGATTACCATAATGACTAAGGTAGTGCCTCTGTCAGAGGTAACAAATGAACTAACAAAGCCTGTTCTGTCGTTGGACGGTGGAACCAAGCACCAGCATTACCGTCTGTTGAGAAGGCTGGAGATAATTTTTAATACCCTTATGCTAACATTGTACAAAAGGGAAAAAAGGCAAGGAAGAATCTTTAAATAAATATTCTAATTTTTTACTTTGAATTCTTAGGTAAAACAAGTAATTGGGTTTACCTGAAAACCATAGTACAAATAAATATATTAAGAGATAGCCAATAGACCTTTAAGACAAACAGGCCTCAGCTTGTGTTTTGACACTAGTTCGTTGAAGGAAAGTTAGTGAGAAGAAAAATAGCAAGGAAAAACTGTCAGACATGACTAACAACAAAAATGAGAGATAAGCTAGGATCTTCTAGGAGCACAGATAGTAAAGGGATAGATTTCAGATAACAAAAATAGCTATAGCCAAATACTTTAACAGGGTATGATAAATTTATATTAATACTAATAATAGAAGAGCTTTTCTCTGAAACCCCGTTCGCTTAGCCCTGAACTGATGTTCATGAGGAGGTTCCCACTGCAAATATCCTGACATCTTCTTAAAGAATTTTGTTGGAACGTTGGTAAGTTAGGCAGGATTTCTTTTCTGATGGATTTACCAAAAAACAAAGACACTTTAAGTCAAGAAGAAGCTTTAAACCCTGTTACATTCCTTTCATTTGTATTTCATAAGTAATATCATTTGTGTGTATTCAGTTGTGAACACATTGTGAATTTCAGGGATTTTATTATCTTTGTTTACGTGTTATGCTATGTAAGTAGGATTGTAAGTGATGTACTTTCCAGTTTATTGTTGGCAATAATCTAATTTCTCTGAGGATGTTCGTGGAAGAGTCTTGGTTCCCAGCTTGTGTCTTTTGGTCAGTGTTTGCATTCCTTCTGTATAACCTTTACAAAACTCTGTATAAATTCTGTAAAATTTTTTTCATCATACTCTTCACATTCTTTGCATTTTGCTGATGTTGTGGAATTCAACTGAAAAAGAAAATGCAATAGTAAAGCAGGATACTGATCTACTTGTTCTGATAGAAAACTAACCCTTGTTTGTCCTGTTTTTGTGAATATTTCCAATGCAGTCAATGGCTACAAGAAAGCATTGCTGGAGGCTTCCACGGTACTTATGTTCTGTGCAGTTCCTGGGTTGCTTTCTGAGTAGGATCAGCTCTCAAAGATACAGCACTTCAGTGAGAGATGCATGCGGCTGTCCCTTTGAAGACTAGGATACCTTTCTGTATGTGTCTGAGCATGCCTGACTTTAGATACTGAAGTTACACACTGTTATTTATACATACACATTCAAACACCCTGATGTGTGTATGCATGCACAGTCAAAAGTGTTTGCTTTGATGGGAATCCTGAAAGTGGTTTTCTAAAAAACACTAAATTCTGCTTTTTCATCATTATATGTGTAGCTTTTTCATTGGTATATGTACAGGTTGCTGGATCCCATTTGCTTTCATCTGCACCATCCCACCTTTTATATAACAAAAGATGTATTTCTGCTACTGAAGAAACTCTTTTGATTTGCCTTTTTTCCACAGACTGTTGGTGTCACTTACCTTGTTATTTTCTAGGCTTGCATTTCCATTTTTCCATATGTTCAATACATCCTGTGTTTTACTACAATTTTTGATACGACATTCTTGAAGAATCACTTTCATCTCTAAGAAAAAGCATCTTATTACAGGTTCTTGGCATTCTTTCTGAAAAAATGAAGTAGTAATAGTTTTATGATTAAATAGGAATAAGTGAATGTAAGATATAATTTACCACAAAGTGGCTGATTTTATTTACTGGATATCTCTTCTTACTATTCAAATACTTTTAAATATCTCCAAAGATTGGCTGTGAGAGCTGACAACATAAAGGCCAGCCAATTTTCTAAGATGAGGTGAAACATAGTGTCTTGATGCAGAACACAGAAAAATATTTAATTAGGATAGGAATTTGGGATATAATTAAACATAGTGGAATTAAATTAGTATTATTCTTAGTAGTTCTAGCACTTTCATTCAGAGATCTGAATTCAGAATAGGGGAGGGGAGGGTAACTAGGTAGGGGAGAAGAGAGAGTAGATATTATCTGTATTTTACAAATTAAACAAAAAGAAGCAGAGGTACTGATTTCTCCATCAAGTCAACAATAAAGCCAAGAATAAGTCCCAGGTTGTCTGACTTTCACATCAGACTGTCCCACTTAAAGAAAATCTTCCTGACATTACCAGGTATTAAATCAGCCATTACAATGGATTAACGTCTCTGGCTCAGTTCAGCTAAGAGAATGTGTGTGCGGCTGCCAAAAGCAGAGAAATGCACAGGTAGATGCTGACAATTACTCTCCATATTCCACTTCTCCAGTATTTTATTCCATTAAATAGCGCATGGTGTTAAATAATCATCTTTGGAAGTATTTTCTTTGTCACTTCTTTCCTTCCTCAAATTACAAATAAATACCAACATTATTTTATCAGTGTTTCCTTTGATAAGATCGTTTGGGATCATCCCTTTTAATTGATTAATTTTAATAGCAGGTGATTCAATAAAAATAATTAATACCTGCTTACGTAATTTATCATAAGTACTTTACTAACAGAACTGTTACTTTCAAGGCAAATTATTTGATTTCTGAAACTTTTCTCAAATTAGATCAAGGCTGCCTTAGAAGAAAGTTGCTAGTAAAGAAATGAAGCTACCGTATTAGACCAGTTGTGGTCAAATTCCAAGTTTACTTACATCCTCATCTGTGTTTGCAGTATATAAACTGACATCAATGTCCTAGAAGAAAACAAGAGTTAGAATTATGAACATTAACTAACAGATTTAGAGATAATAAAGCTAACTCTGCAAGACAGGGATTAACTCCAAGTTCAAAGGCCAAATCCGTTCCCGGCAAGTCAGGAGATCTTAAAGTCACCTAGTAACCTGCAGGATGGGCTTCACTGTGAGGAGGACTCATCAGAATCGAGCCCCACAATACTTTCTCTGAAGGACCTAACTCCCAAGCCCACTGCCCCTTTTCTTAGAAAAAGTGAGAAAGAAAATAATATTTAATTCTAGAGTCCCCAGTATTTGGTCAACTCCAATTCCTTTTAACCTTCTATTCCTTTGCTTCCACCCATGAAACAGCATTATACAAACACCATCCCTTTTCCTGCTCCCTGTCACTGGCACTTCTTAGCTGAGTACAGTGCTAAATATTTAATTATGTCTGCTCCTATGCTTACATGAAATGCTGACTTTTTTATGAACTTACTTTGGATGTCTTGATCTGCTCCAAATCTTTCAGAACTTCTGCCCACTTGCAATGACCTGCTGCTGTCTTTGGTACATAAGCACTAGAACAGAAGAAAACCGGTCACCGTTAGGCTAAACAGTAGGTATACACAATGTTTATGCTGAAAAAAGAGTCAGAGATTATTAAGATACTATAGACACATTGTTTACATGTATATATATATGGTAAATGTGTGGGGCAAGTATATTTGACAAATCATAAAATCATACAGATACATTAAAACTGTATCTCAGAGTCACACATTGTATAAACAGTCAATGTGTTTTTTAAAAAGGCCAGTTTTACAGAACGTAATGTAAGAGAAAGGTTCAACTACTTAGTGTAAAATACCTACAATTCTTTTAAAGTATACAAAATAATCACAAATTTCAAAGTCTCTTATACTGAAAATTTCCTCCCCTGCTACTATGAAATTTCCACCTTAAGCCCTGTAGAAATATTATTTGTCATTTTAGATGTAATGTTTTGTGTACAGGAAAGCTTCCTCCTGCTGTGGACAAGATTTTGCTCAAAGTGAACTACTAAAGGGTGGAAGGAAGATTTCTTTCTCCTTGGAAGATTTTTGGATTGTGAATTGCAGTTTTAACGTGTCCCCGCTTGGACCCTTAATTTGGATGCCGTTCAGTACTGCCGTACTATAAATAATATACAATAATGTCGGGAAAGACAAACC